AGCATTATCTTCTCTAACTCCATCCATTTACCTGCAAATGCCATGATTTTATTCTCTTTTATTGCTGAGTAATATTCCATTATGTATATATGCCACATTTTTTTAATCTATTCATCCACTGAAGGGCATCTAGGTTGGTTCCACATTTTAGCTATTGAGAATTGTGCTGCTATAAACATTGATGTGGGACTACAAATTGGTGCAGCCAATATGGAAAGCAGTATGTAGAATCCTTGGAAAATTGGGATGGAACCACCATATGACACAGCTATCCCTCTCCTCAGTCTATACTCAAAGGACTTAATAACAGAATACTACAGGGACACAGCCACATCAATATTTGGCTATAAATATTACTAGAAAAAAGTTGTGGAAGCATTTTTAATTTTCTTTCAAGTGCTTCTACGTTACCACCTGTGAAACACAAGCCTTCCTGCCTGTAGTATACTCTCTCACCTTACCATGTACCTCAATCATCTTGAAAATGTCTCACCTCCACCACTGTTGAGAGCCACAGCCAAAGGGGTCCCAGCAAACTTCCAGCTGCCAGCAAATTTCCAGCTGCCAGCTGATGATTGGCTCACAGCGGCCAACTGATTGGCTCCTCTGTGGTGATGCTCATTGGGCTGTTTCCCCACCCTTTCAGACCACGGAGCTGCTCATTGGGGGACTTTTTTGACTCCGCCCATGCGACCCAGCCAATCATCCTCAAGAGCAGGAGGAGTGGGGGAGGTTGAGAGGTTTGTGGGAAGCCAGTGGTGGTAGTTGGGCTTTGAGGGTTTTTCCTGAGGAGCTGTGTGGTGTGGTGTGTGTGTTCTAAAAATAAAGTTCGTTTCTTTTGACAAGTGGCTCCTGAATTGTGCCCAGCCAGACTGAGGCACCCCACAGTGATTTTGCTACCCATCTTCACTCACAATGATCTCTCACTCCACTAATATCTCATGGTATTTCTATCCTTACCCATCATGTTCTTACCCATGATGTTCTTACACATCAATAAATTACTGTTATTGTTATCAGTGTTTTTAGATAATTAACCATAACATTATATAATTTGGCATATACCATATAATTAAAAATTTAATTGTTAGAAAAATGGAAGTTAAAACTACAGATATTTCATCTCACTCTAGTCAGAATGGCAATTATCAAGAATACAAATAACAATAAATGTTGGCAAGGAAGTTGGGAAAATGACACACTCACACATTGCTGATGGGACTGCAAATTGGTGCAACCACTCTGGAAAGCAGTATGGGGTTCTTCATAAAACGTGGAATGAAACCAGTTATCTCACTCCTTAGCATATACCCAAAGGATTTTAAATCAACATACCATAGTGGCATGGCCCCATCAATGCTCATAGATGTTCAACTTACAATAGCTAAACTATGGATCCAACCTAGGTGACCTTCAATAGATGAATGCATAAAGAAATATGGAACATATACACAATGAAATATTACTCAATCATAAAGAAGAATGAAATTATGGCATTGGCTGATAAATGGATGGAACTGGAAACTATCATGTTAAGTGAAACAAGCCAATCCCCAAAACCAAAGAATGAATGTTCTCTCTGCTATGTGGATGTTGATTCATAATAGGTGGGGTGGAGAGAGAGGAATGGAGATTCACCAGATTAGACAGGGGGAATGGGGGTAAGGGAAGGGGCATGGGAATGGTAAAGACAGTATAATTAATTGGACATGACTTTCCTATCTTCATATATGAATACACAACCAGTGTAACTCCACATCATGTACAACCACAAAAAAGACAAGTTATACTCCATGTATGTAAGATATGTCAAAATACACTTCTACTTTCATACATAAAAGAACAAATAAAAATATCAAAAATACAAAAATAGAAATTAAAAAAATAATTGTTCATTATAGAACTTTTATGGGTATATGTCTCTAAGAAGAAGCATTAATAAATTGCAAGGTCTCATTTCATTATTTCATGGGACCACCATTGTATTATAAGCCATGAATTCAAAGAAACCAAATTTCAACAAGACAATAACTAATCAGTTAATGTATTTTATACTCAGTGTTGAATTAGACAGTATAGCAGATAGATAACATAACACCATACTTCCATCCTAAAGGAAATTAAAATATTGTGGAGATAAGACTTCATGAGGGAAGGTTAGATGTACTTTGAAACTTGAGAAATACACACAATTTTGAAAATGCATAGAGAAGAGAGAAGATTGTATTAGCAGGCTATTATATATTAAATATGGAGAAAACTGAAAATTAATTCACATATACATGTATATAAATTATCTACTATTATTTTGGGAAATTAGTAGCATAATAAATTAGTGATTTAAATGTCAAGATTTCAGAAAACATCATATATACATTATGAGATAAATATATTATCACATAAGTTTAGTGAGACAATTAGATAGCAAGAACCTTAACATATACATTTTCTTTCACTAAACTTGTAATATAAAATAATCAGTTATATACACAAAAATTGGACTCTCGCATGAACCTGTGTCTTCCCTCATCTCCTTTGTATCTCACAAGTCCTATTGGTTCCAATATGTGTATGTGTATATATGATTCATAATGCTCACCTAAAATTTAAATATATCTTGAAATGATTTACTTCTCTATTGCCACTCTCTACTCCATGCCACTATAACCTTTATATCAGACCATTTTAATGTTTTTTTTTGTTTTTTTCAACTATTTAATCACAAAGCAGCAGGAATGATATTTTACAGGAAAATCAAAATATATTCCTCTTCTGATTAAACTATTTAATGACTTTTCATGGAAATAGAGAAAAAATGAAAAATCCTAACCATGATCTGTAAAAAAAGCACTGTTTATCTACCTTTTGATGACTCTCTGAAATTTATTTCATGGTACTCTACCCACTTACACCTAAACTCTATATATACTGAATATCTTTGAGTTTTTCTTCACCACCTTAAGGTCTCCCCATAATTCTGCTTATTTCTTCTAGCACTCTCCACACAATGTACACTGTGTTCCATGCCTCCAAGTACACAGACACACACACACACACACACAGAGAGAGAGAGAGAGAGAGAGAGAGAGAGAGAGAGAGAGAGACTTTGTCCCCATGTCTGTCCCATTCCAACATTCAGCTTGAATGTAAATATTACCTCCTCATAAATACCTCCCCTATCTATCTCATCCAAAATAGTACCTCTTATCAATATTTTGGTCTCCATAATCTTATTATTTTCTCTTCATCAAACTTATTAAAATTTTAATTACACATTTATTTACTTATTTTTGTCTATCTCTTTACCAGATTCTAAATTCCATGCATCAGGGACTTTACCTGATTTTTCAATCAATATGTATCCTATAGCTTTCACAGCATCATTTACCTAGTAAGTGCTTAATAAGAACTTGTTTCATGAAACAGTATACAGGGACATTTATTATTGCAAATACAATAGCAATGAACGGAAACAAATTAAATCTCCAAAAAAGAGGTAAATGTAAGATGAATTATGATAGAACTAGGTGTGATAATGCATGTCTGTAATTTTGGCACTTCAGAAGACTAAGGAGGATTACAAGTTCAAGGCCAGTGTGGATAACTTAGTGAGATTCTGCCTCAAAAAAATAAAAAATAAAAGGGCATGGAATGTAACTCAGTGGTAAATCTCTCCTGAGTTCTATCAACAGTACCAGAAAATAAAATAAATTATGATAAGAATAAATGGTAGAATATTATGCTGCTATAAAAGATCATGTTACAAAGATTAATGATAATATTAGACACAACTGATGTTTAACTACTAATATTTGGCATAATCCCTACAGTATTTTAACAAAATAAATATATATAAGAAATATATTCGATTAGCACACGTTAAAATATTAATATTGGTTATCTGTAGATTGTGAGTTTATGGGTGGCCTTTGCTTTCCAATTTTTCATAGTTTTCTATATTTACAAATAAAAATAAAATGATTAAAGTTAAAACACCAAAGTTTCATCAATACAAGGAAAGCAAATATGAATATAGTAAAAAATAAAATGCCGCCTAACATTTTGAGGAGTTCTTTTGGCTAAATATTAGAAGTTTAATTTATGTCAAATTTATTTGTATGTAAAACACTCTTTTCTTAATTGTATAATCAATGTATAAGATAGTTCATTTTAGTCTTATGAAAGGAAGCATGTAGGAGAGTATATCGATCTATTAAGGAGTCAGAATACACTGTATATTTTTCTGTTTAAAAAATATTATTTAGTGGGCTGGGGTTGTGGATCAGAGGTAGAGTGCTTGCCTAGTGTACGAGGCACTGGGTTCGGTCCTCAGCACCACATAAAAATAAATAAATAAATAAAGGTATAAAATATTATTTAGTTATAGTTGGACACAATATCTTTATTTTATTTATTTATTTTATATGGTACTGAGGATTGAACCCAGGGCCTCACACAAGTGGGACAAGCACTGTTCGACTGAGCCACAACACCCCTGTATATGTTTCTTTATATAACATGTTTTATTTTCCAAAAATTCTATTTTTACCCATAATAATGTCATCTTAAAATCTATCTTATACACTGAATAGTACTGCCAATAAATAAATAATTGGAGGAGGCTCTAAATGTTTCAATATGTCACCTGTTTAGAGGGGGGAACCAAAAATCAGGATTTTAGAAATAGGTAAATAAGTTGTTAAACATGATATTTCTCACCACCACTAGGTAAAAGTTCACATATGTTGGAAAAAAAACAAATTTTTATGCACAGTTTATATTAGGGCACATATCAAACTCATCAGCACTTATTCATTTATATTTTATTTCTTATTAGTATAGTTTCTATTCATGCAAAAGTTATATAAAGACAAACATGCATACATGAACATGTGCACTCTCTGTCACATACACATGCACGTGCGCTGTGTATGTGTGTGCGCACACACACACACAAAGAGTTTTCTGGTTATTAATTTGTCCTCATAGTTACTACATACCTGATATCATCAGAAAGCCACCTCCAATTTTGTAACATCCAGCATTGGCAAAGGGCATACCACACACCAGCAGAAATCCTCCAGCCAGACCAGAACCAATACCCAGTATAATAAAGATCGTCCAGAAGCCTCTGTACACTAGAGAGTGAGAAGAAAAATACAAATATTAGAGTATTCTGTAAATTATGACTAAACCGTGAAAATAAACTATCACTTGGTGGAATGTGATGTATATCATTATCCAAAATACATGTATGAAGACACGAATTGGTGTGAACATATTTTATATACAGCCAGAGATATGAAAAATTTTGCTCTATATGTGTAATAAGAATTGTAATGCAGTCCATTCTCATTTATTTTTTAAAAAATCAATAAAAAGTACACCAATTAAATTATACTTCTGTGCTAGAGGAATGGAGCTTCAAAATGCAGATTATTTTAAGTGATAGAAAATAAAATTATATTTTTGTAACCTCAAAAAAAAACCTATCACTAATTATCAGTATTAAGTTTGTTTGAGTTTCTAGCTTCATAGTTATTTGTGTAAAAATTCTTTACCTAACTTTCTATACATCTTTAAAAACACAATGCAGATTATTCTTCTTACTAGATGTCTTCTCTTACTGATATGGTTTTGGTTAGAGGCTCCTCTGATGTGTGACCATAACACCCTTTCACTTACCTTTTTAAATAAATATATCATACTAGACTGTAATTCTCTGTTTTCTTTCTTGTATCCTTCAATAAGCTAAGAGTTCCTTGATGGGAAAAATTCTATTTTATTTATTTCCAGTGCCTGCAAATTCCTGGTACATAGCAAAGCTTAAAAAAATACTTGTTAAACTGAATCATATGCCTTGTCTCAGTTTCAATTCTGCAAGGATGAAAGGATAAGCACAGGATTATTTTTATTTATAGCGGGCTCCCTAACTCTAAATTCTCGGATGACAACTATTCTATAAACTTGTGACTTTGATTCCCATGTATAGAAAATAAACCTTAAACAAGACTTCAAATTGAGGGATTAGAAAAAAGCAGTACCTGATTCCTAATCCTTTGACCATGCCTTATGCTTCCCTTCCTTCTTACACAAAATTTACCTGTTCTTTCAGTGTCTTTTAAACTTTGTTGATTTTCTAAACAATCCATCCTCCTGGTGACATGCAATTGTTCCTGTCCTTCCACTAGCCTTTCTGAGTAGATGAAGAACTATGGCAGGAGGGATATGTGAGCAGACTGAATTTTCCCCAAAACTATTCCATATAATTATATTTTAAATACAAATGAATTTCCAAAAAAACTAAAGCAAAGAAATATAGAAATCAAGAGAGCATTTATCTTATCATTTTTATGATGTTCCAATTGCTGTTTTGAGGGAAATTAATACATAATATAAAGTGAAGTGGACAAGTGAAGATGATTCTCTGGGCTGTGAAATGAAGTAAATAATTTTTGAAGGATCTATGTCATTCAGGAAAGATTTAAAATTCTTCAGTATTCCTAAATTCCCCAGAATAAAATTCAGTACTTTGTTTACATTTTAGTTGCAATGAAAAATACATATTCTTCTGTATCATTGCTTTGAATTTTTCTCTCTACAACTGAAACAAGTTTCAGATATTCTCTTTTATCCCTACACATTCTAATATCTGGAAGGTTAGAAATTTAAATCAAGAGCTGCCAAACTGGGAGAATTAATTTGGGACAGATTGGGAAGTGAAATTGACATATAACAATTGACAATATTCTCTCTAATTTGCACATACTGACAATCTTTAAACTCTTTTAGAGAATTAGCACAGTCCAGCATCCATCCACTAATTTTTTTTTTCTGATCAAGATTGGTCTTTGGGTAAAATCCATTAGCCATATCTTGATTTGTTTTGTTTTTATTAGAGCTTTATAGTTATACATAATATTAGGGTGCATCCCAACAAAGTCATACATACATGGAAATTGATTTCAGTTCCTGATCCCCTCTTTTCCCTCCTCCCCTCCCTCCTGTTTCCCTTCTCATTCCTCTACTAGACTTCCTTTCAGCACTGGATTAATTTACATTTGATTGGTTCTTTGTTATCCTATCCTTCTCTCCCCCTTTCCTTTAATTTACTCTTGCTTCCACATAGAGAGAAATCATTCAATTTGTGAGTTTCTGAATTTGTTTAGTTTTTCTTAACATGATATTCTCTATTTCCATCCATTCACTGGCAAATGCCATAATTGCATTTATTCTTAAAACATCCACTCTTTGAAAGAAGTTCTTTGAGGTATCTGATTCTGAGATACTCAGGACAATTAAAAAGACTACATTTAGCTATTTTATTGATTGTAAGTGACAGTAACCTATTTTGAATAATGCAGGTATCTCTGAGATAGAAATATCATCAGAAACAGGAAGGGGCAGGGAAGAGGATTCAGACAATATTCCCTCAAATTTTGTGACAAGAATCATGATATTTTTTCATTTCATGAGAATATGGTGTTAATACTTAATTCAAAGTGAACATGTTTGCTTATTCATCTTTCTAGTGTTCCCAGAACAAAAGCCAATTTCAATTCTTCAATGAATAAGAAATAAACAATCACTTCTGTTATCAGTTCCAAAAAGGAAACAGTGGAGAAAAGCAAATGCAATGTAAAATGCCTCATATATGGGAATGTAATCCACAAATTTATTAACATTTGTTGTTTTTATTGGTGGCCAGGGGGTATTTTTTTTAATTGTTTAATGTGTATCTGAAAGTGTAATCTCTGCAAAAGCTGGGCAATCTGTAATAAATTATTGGTCTGGCTGAATCTCAGTTTTACCAGAAGTAAAATGGTTATACAGAGTAATTGTGATAATGGAATAAGTTTTATGTAGACACATAGTGTTTAATAAATTATAACTGATTGATGTTATTATTATCAGTATTATTTCAACCAAACTGCCATTTTATTGCATTTCTTTTGGGACTTAAAACCGTAAAGCTCTCATGGAAACAAGAGGAAACTGAATTGTTCTTTTTTGTTTTTTCTTTAACTTGTATGCTAAGGGAATAGAACAATGGAAAGAGCAATTTGCCAGGAATCAGTAGAGTTGCTTGCAAGCATATGTTGGTTCTGTCTGTCTTGCTTGTGGCCCTGAAAAAAAAATCCATTGCTGCTATTTTCCTTCATTTTTCACTCTCTGTCAGAATGTAAATGATAAATTTTGTTTATCCGTACCTCTCATCCTCTCAGGGCACAGTAGGACAATTTGGTGTTGATGGTTCCATGGATATGTTTTTTCAGAATGAGTATTGAATGAGGATACACACCCACACCCACATACTCACACACAGATATATATATATATATATATATATATATATAATGTATATTATATTAATAGTATTATGTATAATAATATGTATATAATAATGCCTGGACCATACTAGGTACTCAATAAGTATTTATTATCATTATCATCTTTGGTTGGTTCATTTTTACTTAGAATGTTGATAATTTTTATTCATCTAAAATAATAATACCAAAATAAATAATTAATATTTTTATTACTATAGCTGAGATAAAGGAATGGGGGTTTATTCAAAAAGTAAAACTGTATGTTTTGAACCTTACTTAGAAAAAATTATAGATGAACTGCATTGTTTGTACTTTAGTCCATGTAATAATGCTGTAGGACAAAAATAGCATATAAACAGATAACCTAAGTTATCCTTATTAAAATGGTCCTATCAAAATCTCATATATTGACCAAAGTTTTATTTTTTTATACCAGGTTATTTAACCGAGGGGTGCCCAACCACTAACTTATATTCATAGGCCTTTTTAAAATTTTTTTATTCTGAATATAATAATAATAATATTCTGAATTAGGATCTCAATAAGTTGCTTAGGTCCTCACTGAACTTGTGTTACTCCTGCCTCAGCCTCCTAAGATGCTAGGACTACAGACATTCACTTTTTTGCCATTACTTATGATGATAAAATAAGGTAATGGATGTGAAAGTCCTGTGTGAGACTTAATTAATGCTAGAAAGTATATCCTATGTGCTTCTTGATTACTTTTTAGTTGGTTTTAATGTAAAGTAACTATAGTAGATTATAGGTAATATAATGTGTAATCTTGGATACGATATAAGTATAACCAAACAGAGGGGAAAGATTTTTAAATACTGATTATTTTTAATCTGTTTGCTGAATATATGCAAATTTATACTTTAACTTATGAAGAAATTCTCTCTTTTTTTCCTGTTCAAATATGGTCAGCTTTATGTATCTGTGTGTTCCATATTTACATATTAAAGTAATCACAAATTGAAAATAGATGAAGAAAAACTGCATGTGTGCTAACCAGGCACAAATTTTTTTCTGTCATTATTAATTTAAAATACAGCACTGTTTGCACAGCTTTATTCATTTTATTAGGTATTGCACATAATCAAGAGATGATTTAAGTGTATAAGAATATGCATAGATTACATGCAAACTTTGCTCCGTCTTATATAAGTGATGTGAAAATCTTGTATTTTGGTGTCCTTGAGGAATTAAAATCAATCCCTTGTTAATTTATAAATTAAGTGTTAAAAATTCAAATTTGTGATATTCTGATAGAAATATAATTCCATCTAATCTCCAAATCTAGGGAATGGAAGTAGAGCAAGTTTCTGAATATTGTAAGAACAGGTATTAAAGAGAAATTTGAAATCCCTTGCTCAATTCTATTTTGGATCAGAGCAGCATTAAGAGCAACAATCTAGGTTTTAGAATAAAAATTACTTAACACTTACTTTGGGTTCCACCACTTTGAACGTTTCTGAATATCAGTTTCCTCATTTATTAAATGGTTCTATTAGTATCTAATGTAGTTCGTGTGAGTAGATAATTACATCTTTTTTTACTTAGCTTCACACTTACTAGATTTTTAAATTTTGTTCTCTTTTCTTTTTATTTTAACTTACATAGAATACCTGCTATAGGATAATTGTTCAGATGAAATCTATTTTGTAACTGGACTCCAGAAGCAAAGATAACAAACTTAGTCCAAAATGTAGCATGAATCATTGATTTAATCAAAACTATATAAACTCTTAATAGTCATATATCTTTATAATATACAACATGGATCCCAGTAATATTTTTTTTTAAAAAACTCACCTGTAGTTGCATCAAAAGAAGGATGTGGGAAAGGCCCAACAGCAGTTGGCATAGGAAAGAGATACCCAGGAATACAGCGCTTGGGGTGAGGCTGGTTCACTGCCAGAGAAAAAGTAAACCCTATTTTAATTATAAGATTTTGAAAATTAAATTCTAATCCCTTATACACCTTTCAATTCAACAAAGTATTTGAAGAACTGAATAAATAATAAGTAGAAGTTCTTCATTTTGTAGCTAATACTGGTGGGATACAAAGAAGAGAAATGAAACGCCCAAGGTCATATAAAGAAAGGTAGAAATTGGGATACAAATATCATAGGTCTCACTTAATGTCTTATAAAATCTTGTCTCCTATGATATTTTGTGTGCTTTCAATTAAAGTCATTAAAATTTAATCAGCTTTTAGTATGTTCTTAAAACAGCTAAGGTAGATGTCATGTGGACTATTAAGTCTCCAGCTTTATACAGATTACAACCTAATGAAATAAAAACACATATCCAAGGTGGTGTAAATAATTATAGTCTGTCTTAAATGACATAAAATGTATCAAGGCTATTATCTTAGGTTTGTAAGAGGAGAAAGAGATTAATTTTAATTGAGAGTTTCAAAGAAAGAATTACAAAAGTTGTAGAATTTCATTTTGGACTTGGAGGATGAGAATGCATTCATCAAGTGAAAGCAGAAAAAGGAAATTCTAGATAAAATATAGGGCACAAGCATAGGAAGTGACCCAGCAAAGTAGCAAGCAAATTTGGTGTGGAAAGCCTAAATTTTGACAATAGAAGTGAAATAAAGCTATTTCTAGTTTTCAAAAAGTGCATTGAGCATTACAGGAACAAACAACAGCTACATATTTGTCCAAATAGCATAGATACAATACCCATTTTATTTTCTAAGAGACAATTCAGATTAATGGAAGTTTTAGATATCCGCCTAAAAATTAAAATATACAATATGATACAGGTCAAACATTGTGGAAGTAAGTTAACTGTTTGTATGTCAGGTACCATGATAATCATGTAATAGATGACAAAATCAGTGTGTCCAAAAGGTCACAAGGATGAGTTAAAACTAGCACAGTGAAATTTATTGTAAAGTTATGCTCTTAATTTCTAAAAGCTACTTGCATTCTATATGGTAAAAAACACATGGATAAAGAAAAAATGTAAAATTAATATAGATACTCTACAAAATTCACTATAAACTAAATATGGCTTAATTGTCAATTACATTAAACAAAAAGTTAATGCCATTTGAGTCTGCATGAATTGAGATAGAGTGACTTATCACTATAAATATAGGAGATAAGTCACATCTGGGTCACATTGCTAATGATAGGTGCCACATTTTTAAAGGGACATGAGCAAATTAGAGTACAAAGAAGAGTGAATAGACCGGCTACAGAATGAGAATATTATTCTGTTAGAAACAATAGAATAAAATTAGGATATTTAAGAACAGAAATACATGGTTGAGATGAAAATGAAAAGAGATGAATAATAATGCTCATTAATCACTTGAGGAGCTTCTGTGGATAGAAGTGACTGACTTGTTCTTGTGGCTCCAAGTGGCAGAATGAAATTCCATGGTCATAGATTTCAGAAAGACTGATTTTTGTTTAATAATAAAAGACACATGCTGTAATTATAGCTGTCAAACATTACAATAGTGGATTTAATGAAAGAAGCTAAGTACCCTTCAATGAAGGTAATGAAGAATAGACTTGATGGCTACTTGTCAACATGTTAGAGAAAAGATTCATGCATCATTCAGGTTGGGAATTGGACTAGATAACCTGTAGGGTATCATATAACAGTAATGATCTCTGATTCTAGAAGCCCATGAAAAAACATGTCATCATAATAGAAGTGGATTATATCAATATTAATAACAGTATCTTATCATGATTAATGATATACTGAGAATGTTAGATGCATTAATACAGTGTCTACTGATTTTAAAGTGTTTTATTGTTAGCACTAGCACTTCAAAATAAATGGACATTTTCTCCACTTATATTACTAAAGAATTCCCATTGAATTGATTATTGCTACACCCTGAATATTAAACTAATTTTCTATAATAAATGATTTTAAGATGTATCCTAGGGGCTGGGGATGTGGCTCAAGCAGTAGTGCGCTCACCTGGCATGCGTGCGGCCCGGGTTCGATCCTCAGCACCACATACCAACAAAGATGTTGTGTTCGCCAAGAACTAAAAAATAAACATTAAAACTTCTC